TTTTTTTTTATAAAATTACGCACAAGAAAAGAAAAAGAAATTTTCTTCTATCAAAATTTCTTAAATCAGTATGCAGCTCTGAAGAAAAAAATGCTTGTTTATTTATTTCTTCAAGAAAATTTACAGCAGTAGCAAAGTCCTTTTTCTAGAAACAGAAATAATGAAAAATATTTCTTGTGGTTTTTCTTGAGAACTGCAAACGGCCCACAGTGTATTATTTCCATATTCTATAAAATATTAATTACATTATTTTATGTCGCCAAATTTCAAAACAACGTCAAAAATGTTTTTAGAAATGCCCGATAAAGACGAAACTATAACAACTAAAAAATGTAAATCAAAGTGTAGGGCGGTGTAGGGGGTTTGATTTGGAAAATTACCAAGCGCAATAATATTTAAACTTGTATATTTGAAACTGAATCCCAATGTTTAATTTGTCGGTGTTATGTTATTTATGCAACAATTGCTAAAATACCATTTTGGTTTTAATTATTTAAAAGGAAAATAGCCAGTAGTTATAGTCAAAATAAAGTCGACTCTATAAAGTTAATGGCAGCTTTTTGACATACTTTTGAATGGGATATCTGTCAAAAAAGCTGTACTTAACTTTGGTGTCGACTTTATTTTGACTACGGGTCAATGGGTTTAATGACGCACACATATAAGCTCATTTGATTTGGCTTTCTACTTTTTCGGTATAGGAGTATTCAAAAAGATTGCTCTTACAGTATGGAATATATACATATGTACAATGTCCATTGTACATTTATATATTTGAAGTTAAAAACCCCCTATAGATATTAAAAAAAAAAACATTGGAAACCGGTTTAGAAACACCCTAGTACGCACCCATTTAAGTACTTATGGTCCAAATAATAGGAGTGTGACATTTCAACCAGTTTTGACTATTTTTTTTTTTTTGTTGGCTTAATGTTCATTATTTGATTTTATTTATTTATAAAATCTAAAAATTCTGACTTTTTACAAAAGTTAAAAAAATTCCCCAAAGTTTCATCAATTTTTCAAACTTTAAATTAGAGTCTCTAGAAAACACTTTGGTAGGCATTTTTATAGTCCATTAAATTTTAGTATTTATAATAAAGTTGCAAGTTTGAAGTTGCTAAAATAGATATATTGTATATGTATACTTTATAAAAAATTTGTGAACAATAAACTGCTAAAAAAGTAAGTAAAACTTGTCAAAATGTCGCACTCCTATTATTATGGCCATAAGTGTTTGCATTTATGAAGGTACACATCTATGCATGAACATGCATGTATCCATTTAAGCTTAAAGAGATATTAAAAACGATTCTTCTGCCTTGTTAGCTGCGAATCTCGTGAAATTAGAACAACTACAAGCGGAGGCTGGCATAGAAATACTCGATCGTACCTCACGAATGTCCATAGATGTGAATGTGACACGAACAATGTCTTTTGATGCTTTTTCAAATGAACCCAATAAGGATCTAATGAAGCAATTCATTGAATCTTTAAATCCCATACAAAAAGTGGAGTGGCTGGAAAGTGGTTTTGCGGGAAAGAGTTATCTTATTGTCACAGCACCAGTATTATTTGTCCTACAGCTTTTTATTCCCGTTGTGGACTACGAACGAGAACGTCATGGCTGGTCGAAATTATTGAACTCGATCCAAATCCCTTTTGTACCATTGATTGTAGTGTATGCGCTGTGTAAGTCATACGTACATACATACTTAGTATGTAAATTCATTTCAATTTCAATAATGGACCTTCTTCTTCTTCTTGCAGCAACAAATGTATTTTTACTAGGCTTGCCACTTTGCTGTCACACTTTACCGATTACCATACCCATATCGTGCTATATGCTATATACAACACGAACCGATATTCCACCCAATTATCATCAAGTCAGTTATTTCAATTTATTTATTGCTAAATATCTACTCTCTAAACAATTGCTCATTATTATTTAGGTCATAGCTTTGTATGGTGTTGCTTGTTCCATTTTAATAATTTACTACTCGTCCAGTGAATCCGTCGAAATATTGCGCGTCATTGGCATTGTGACCAACAGAAGCAACTCATTCCTTGGATGCACCTTACAAGCCTGGGGTAATAGTATTGGCGACTTGGTATCAACCATTGCTTTGGCACGCCATGGATATCCGCGAATGGGTTATGCTGCTTGTTTCGGCGGTCCATTTTTTAGTAATAAAAAAACACATACACACCTAAAAAATGATACAAATTCCTTGCGTTTCAGATTCGATTTCATCATTTGGAGGGGTTTTTATATACGAAACCTTTCGTAGCGAAACACCTATATCCGTATGTAGACTTGTGATTGAAGTTAAAAATGGTAAAAAAAAAACGTTTTTATTTAAGGTTCCGCAAGGCAGCTTAGGCGAAAATTGTGTAATTTTCCAGTTTATAGCTGCATTATCAGTTTTGGCTTGGTCCACTTTAACGAATTTTTCCGCTCGACGAAGTATTGGTGTCTTCAACTTCATATTATATGCAATATTTTTAGTTTTCGTGTTCTTGGGAGAATTAGAAATTATTGAAACGTTCGCTCCTGAACAAGAAGAAGAAATGCTGGAATCGTAGAAATCAACAAGGAAAAAGCTTTGCAGTTTTGATGAGTAACTTTTGTTCATATCGCACAAATTCTTCAGATGTGTATTAACTCAAAATGACCCGCTCGCCAGAAAATGCTAAAAACTATTTTTACTTTACATTCTTTCTACAAATTACACTAAAATTTTGCCCCAACTTTTTCTGAAAGGTAAATATGTAGATACATATAAGGTCTGTGAACATTTTAGCGCATATAAAAATTTACAAATTTTGAAATCATACACTTTTAAAGAACGTGTGCGATATATATAATGAATCGGTTAATTACAAAGGGGAATAAGTCAGAAATTTTCGATATGAAACTCTGTTAAACTGCATCAAATTTTCCATATCGGAAAAATGCTGACTTATTCACGTTGATAATTAACCGATTCATATATCGACACCTGAGTGGAAGATGGACCTATCTCGGCAGCCACTTTGAAAACGCCCTATCTCAGAAAGCTTTTCAAGAACGCCCTATTTAAGAATTTTATTGCAAAACACCCTATCTCAGAATTTGGTTGAAGAAGGCACCACTACCTCAGAATTCAGTTTAAAAACGCCCTAACTCACTTCACAATGTATTGAAAATGTGCTGACAAAGGGCGTATTTGAACCGAATTCTGAGATAGGGCGTCCTCAATCAAATTCTGAGATAGGGCATTCTTCAACCAAATTCTGAAATAGGACGTTTCCGAACTGGCTGCCGAGATAGGTCGATCTTCCACTTAGGTGTCGATGTAGTATATGTTACATTGGTTATAATGCTTTATTTTAATAAAAAAAGTAAAAATAAGTGGAACTGTTTGATAAATAATATCAAAATGTAATAAGTTATATATATACATTAGGGTGATTCTTTAAACCAAATTAACGATTTTTTTTCAGTCCCACTCCCTAAATCGGTAATGCCACGGTCACAGATATCACATTGAGAACGGTTAAGGCGTGTCGCACAGGGGGGCAAGTTACAGATACAGATTATTTTTCCATTTAATACCCAAAATCGATACTACTATTGTCAAAAATATGACATATAAATTTTGGTCCCGATTAGAGTCGGTTAGGGCGTGTCGATTTTGGGTATTAGATGAAAAAATTGTTTTTTAATATTTTGAGTTTCCATAGAGGAATCTGAACTTTGCCTCCTTTGCGACACGCCTTTACCTTCCCCAATCGTGATATGTGATATCTTCGACTATAGTAGCATCGACGTAGGGGTCGAGGTTTAGGAAATCAGATGTGAAGATTTGCTTCCTACATTTAAGGACCACCCTAATAAACATACATATTGATTTTCAAAATTTCTACACCATTTCTACGAAGCATTGTTTTTTCCCCATACAAAATACATGGAAAACTTAGAGCGACCTCTTGAATTGTTTGATCTCGAAATAAGAAAAGAGGTAAATATATTTTTTCGATATAGAACAATCCTAGGGACTTCACTATTATCACATGAATTTTTGGACCACTCTTATGTATGTACATATATGTATATGTATATGTGCATACGCACTCGTATGTCGTCGGGTTATGTCGTATGAAGTTCCTTTAAAGACTAATAAATTATGGTGTAAAATTATTTACAGAATAAATATTGGTTTAAAAAACCCAAAAACACGTATTAATAGCTGACCGAACTAAATACTGTTAGAAAATAAACAATAGTTTAAAACACTAAGCAACACGCTTTACGGCGCTTTTACATTAGACAATGCTGTCAAGACAATAAAGAAATGCGTATTTGTTGTCAAAAATGCTGATAATTTTCTCCGCGACGCTGGCGTCCTGACAATAGTTATGACAATTCATTTTGAGCAAAATGTCTTGTTGTTGTAGTAGGTGTATAAAAAAGTAGTATTGTTGTAGTATTGAGAAGAATGGTCTACTGCGGAAAAAAATTGTTAGATTACCAGTATTCGACCCTAATTTAACTGTAATAAACACTTTCGTGGAAAAATATTTTACCTATGTTTTTTTCTGAGTTACGCTATTTTTGGTAAAATAAAGGAGATCATATTCTTGTCTAATGGCCCAAATTATGCAAAAAAACTTATTTAAAAATGTAATTTTCATTTCGTAAAATTGTGTTTTTATGCAAGTAGTATTTAGTTCCTTCAAACGATGTATTCAATGTACATATAACAAGAAAATTTTGTACAAAATTCCTTAGTCGCCGAACGCCGCCGCCGCCGCGCCGATATTTTCGTATCGAATGACAAAAGCGTATACCTCTAGCGAGTGGTCACTATAATAGCGCATTCACTCCCTACCCCCTAAAGTGCTTCCAATGATTTTAACGGTATTTAAAGTACTGTGAAGAGCAGAGGAGAACCAGAATTACTGCATTCAAATGAAAAAATTCTGTTATCCAAACAGCGACTGCGTAAACCCCTTTAAAGCCACATCTTCCTTATGAATAATTAAAACTCAACTAAAGGCCAAACGACCAAAAGAACAGTATACCGAGAAATCGATTTCGCCAAAACAACAAATAAAGATAAATGGTGGTCACGCCCAGAGCGTAAATGAACATCCGCAATAAGAACTCAACCAATTGCCAAAACGATAGGCCAGGGCTTTGCGTATAAAGCGCAAGCTATAGACAATGGCATCCAAATCGAGGCTACACAGAATACGTAGATAACACTACTCGGCATGTTCAAGAAAGTAAAAAAAATTATCAGAAATAGGCCCCCAGTAAAACCAGTAAAAACTTGCAACTTACGCCATTGTGACATTTTTCGATGGTTAAGTTTTGGCGCGCAATTTTCATTTTACCTGGAAATATCTCTCATCGTCATAAAAAGAAAAAAAAATCTACTTTGGAAGTCAATTATTCATCAATACTTTCGTTTTCCTAATTTTATCTTGATCAAATTTTAAATTAGCATTGTTAAATAAAAAAATAGTAAATAAAAAATGGTAAGTAAAAAATAAAAAGAAGAAATAAATGTCCGTGTCACAGGGCTTAAACCTATGACCAACAAGTTGGCGATCGAACACACGTCCATTAGGCTACAGCAGCTGTTGAGAAAAAGTGTAAAAAATACACATTTCAATTCATTCTCAATATTTTTGATTGCATTGGCTACAATTCTAATTTCATATCGACAATCGTCGGAAAAAGATGTAAACGAATTTCATCGCTACGATATATAGTTACAGAATACACTAGTCGCAAACGCAAGCGATTATTGTCGCAAACTGCGACAATGATTGTCGGTCGGTAGAAAATTTAGAGAATAGCAACTACAGTTCCCCTCATTTGAAAATCGTAGAGCTTTTTATTTTGTAAATATTGACACAGAATGCGATTGGAGCTTTTGCTTGATAAAAATCTTGATAAAAATTCTTTGCAAATAATTGATCAAGAAAACACAGAAATGGGTGGATAATTAGTTGCAATAAAAAATATTTCAAGGTCCAAACTTCAGTTTTAAAGTCGCACCTTCGATAAGAATGTGGAAATAGGATAGTATTCGATTCGAGAACTAGGCCATTCTCCAGAAAAACGGAACCTTCGTTACCCAATATATTTCCTTTCGCTATAGCCCAGTTATGCATACTTGCACTGCTATACCATTTTTACGTAAAAATCAATACCCAACAGAATTGTACATGCGTTGGGTAACCGCTTACACGCAAAGCCCGTTTAACAGATTCTTATGTGACAACTATCATGCTAAGCTAAGTATGCATTACTGGGCTATTATGAATTCAACATTCAGCAGCATTATCGAATTAAAATTTTAATGAGAGAGAGTGATTGTCTTATATTTCCCTTCGAGAATGAGCTGGTTTTCACTTTCTCTCTTGTTACTATGGTTCTAATTTTTTTTGGAACCCATTTTGAGTGTAATTCCAATATACTCCTTAGTTCGATATTCATATTGGATATTTATTTATTTATTTATTTTTTTATTTATTTATTTACATGTGCATATGTATTGTTGAATAATTAATTGAGTTTTCATGGTTTAAACAATTTCCCCAATTTTGTTGCTTTGTATTTACCATATTCTCCAATACGTAACGTTAAAGAATCTTTAATAGGACGTTAAAAATATTTCCATTTTTTGTATTGTAAAAAAAAATAAATAAAAAATTTAATGTAAATACCGCTTAAAACTACATTTAAAAAAAAAAAAAATTAAAAAATTTAGCTTTTGTTTTTGTCTTATCAGGATAAATAAAAAACTTTCAGTTTTCCCACAACGTTTCGGAAATCTAAACAGAAATATGCGTGCGATTGCAATGTTAAGGACAAACATTTTTATCACATGGAAAGTTGAATCTGATTAAATTCTACAGAATTTGCTCTTTAATTTGAAACCAATACTTCTTCTCTAAGCACATTTCACTGAATTTTTTAAATCATTTTTGAATTACTGCCATCAGAGAGAAAAACTAAAAACGCAATTTTACTATATTTGGTCCATGGTTTCCGCAAATATATTGATTTTTGTGTGTAAAATTTACTATCGCCCGGTGTTATTTGTATAATAAAATATATAAATATTATTTATTAAATAAAAAAAAAGGAATATAGCCAATAATGGTAAAGAAAAGGAGTTTTTATTATAGCCATCAGGGCAAATTACAAATCCCGAAAATCTACAAAAGGCCGGGATCCCGGGATTAACATTCCTAACGTATAAGCATGCATGCATAAATGAAACACTGAAAAATATCTGCTCATTCAACAAATGCATAGAACCATTTACCAGCAGAAAATTGTTTTCTATACATACATACATATTGGGACTCTTGAAGTTATTCGAACAATTCGAATATTCGAACGTTCGATCGGCACTTGTTTGTACGATTGCTAATCGAATGTTACTATTCGAATAGTTGATTCTCTTCGATTACTCGAATAGTCGCCAAGCTACGATAATTCGAATACCTTAGTAAAATCGAATATTCGATCATTGTAATAAGCGTTATATGTCAAACAAAAAAATGGTTGTTGTGAATATTTATTAATTTTTTATAAGCGGACCATGTTTGATCCATACGTTAAAAAATACATATTTTGCTATGACTTCTCACCATACATATATTTTCGTTATAACTTATCACCGTTTTAAAGTCCCTGAATTGTACTTTCCTTTTTTATATAATTATTTTTTGCATTGTCACTTTTGATACACCAGGAATGCCTTGACAACATAGAAATGTATTTCTAAAGAATTATTCAATCTGCTTTTTCACTGATTTAAACACAAACTATGTAATTTATTTTTTTGTCTGTGGTGCCGTCTTCGCTGAAGTGGCCCATATTCATACATTTCAATTTATTTAAATGTGTACATACATACATATATATACATATCTACATATATTTCAACATTCGAGTAATCGCGCACCAGTTATTATTCGAATAATTGAAAACGACAATCGAATTTTACTATTCGAATAATTCGAATATTCGATTAATCGAATATCAAGAGCTCTAATACATATGTATATGAGGTACATACATACATATGTACAGTGGGGAGCAGTGGTGAATGGTGGTTTTTATAAAATATTTGCTAGGTTTTTAAAGTTCCTTTTTTGTTATTATTTCGCAAAAATATGGTTGATGCGTTAACCAAAACCATATAAATGAAACTTCCA